GGGTCCAGTCACTCGTGCATCTAAGGCTTAGATGCACGAGTGACTGGACCCTCTTCCATAAGTGGGTCAAAAAGGACCCGTATTAGAATAATATGTGTTTTTATGTCATTTTTGTCATTTTGGTTAAGAAAAGTCACTTGTAAAATATTTAGTATTATATTTTGGTTCACACTAGAAATATTTTATATTTAATTTTTCACTATTTATCATTTTAGACATTTTTTTTACATTTTGAAAAAAACCGTTTTCTCATAGGATTCCATAGGAAATGCATTTTTGACCCACTTATGGAAGCTTGGGGTAGAAATACAAAAACTACAATTTCTTAAAATGTAAATTAAAATGTTGAATGGCATGATATCCAAAACATGTTTTGGAATATGAAATGATAAAAAAAATGTAATTACAAAGATATTTCAAGTAATCTTCTGCATCTAAGGGTTAAAAGGTTATAATGGCTCATTCATGGTGTTCAAGTGTTTATGCGGGAACAAATATATTACTTGAGGAATCTACCTCAAAGCGGCTGCCCATTAGCTTGCATTTATGTAAAATAATTGTTAAAAGTTATTTTTCTCCTAATGGCACTCTCATATACAAAGATGTTCATCTCTAAACCATCTTGTAAATAAACATGATTATTGATCTCTGTTTCAATCACTTGATAATTCAGAAGGATTTCATGCACTACTTATACACCAAAAGCAAAAATGATGCTTCCTTTGAATAACCTTAAATCACACGCATGCCTGTGCTGCTGCTGTAATCTGGAGTGTACTTCCCTTTGTGAGGAAGCCCCCTGTCTATCTTCCGTTGATAAGCATAACTTACTGACGACCACCTGCAGAGCGTGTTGGCAGAATCGTGCAGCACGTGGCGCCTTTCCGCCTCGAAGTTGTTTCCAGCTGCAGGTTTATTTAGAAGTACACAGAGGCGAGGAATGAGTAAAGTGTTGTATGTGATGTAACATTTGTTTTACAGGGGGCTCAGTGTTTGTTTTAGCGGGGCTTGAGATCATTAGCAAATGTTTGCTTTATGAAGTAAGCTGATTGCATACTGTGCTGGAGTGTGTGTATATTAAGAGTCAGTTTACCCACATTGTAATACATATTCTCAATTACCTCTAGTTGTTGCATCCCCTGCAGATGATATTTGGTTTAATTTGCCATATTTGATATATCCCACCCTTTCGGAGATTTCTGCCTTTTTCCAAGACATTTGATGTAATGAGAATTCATGTGTGGTGTTTGCAGCCTGTCCAACACTGGGCTGTTGAGGTCGATACTGATATTGACATATAGGCCTAGTAAACAATCTGTAAGCATGTTTTTCCTTGTATTGTGATCAACATGCATACTAGTCATCACATTTAAAAAGTTTGTATTAGTGTTTAGGATGTAACGATACCAAAAACTCACGGTACGATAATATCGCGATAAAAAGTCCACGGTACGATATTTATCGCGATATTGAAAAATAAAGAAAAAAAAATGTGAATGTTTTTTTACTTGAATTGTTTTTCTTTATTAAATAATAAATCTGATCTGTACAGCATTTTAGTAGGATAGTAGTATTTTAAAGTGTCAACAATATAATAATCAGACCCTGCAATAGAATAACTCAAGTTTCACTTTAGTTTTTTAGTAACTCAACTCTAACTCACTCACTCAGCGTCATCAAGGTTATCTTTTAGGAATATGAGCATGTCCACATTTCCAGGTAGAAGCTGGGATGTTTGGGCGTTTACAATATCCCCTGCTGTGGAAAGAACTCTCTTGCTTGGTACTGATGTTGCTGGGACAGAGAGATATGCTTTGGCCATGGGTGACAGCAGTGGGTCAAACTGTGCATTGTCTCTCCACCACTTCAAAAACAATACAGTTTTTGCCAAGAAGGTGAGGCTTATTGACAGGGCGAGATATAAATATACTGTTGGTACTTGTCAATGTCTCTATGTGCATGTAGCCCTGTAAATATGATGTCCTTTTGTGTTATCTGTTGTTTTATGTTCATGTTGTAACCTACTTGCTGCCATGTTGGACAGGTCTCCCTTGAAAAAGAGATTGATGATCTCAATGGGACCATCTGGTTGAATAAAGGTTTTTAAAAAAAAGAAATTATTTAAAAAAGAAAATATATTTTAAAAAAAGAATTGCGGTATATTTTGTCAGTCTCACGACGGTATTGAGACATTTCTTTACCGCGATATTCGATATATCGTTACATCCCTTTTAAGTGGGTTTTTGTGCATGTAAATGGTCTGCAAAGGCTACAATTCCAAAGTTCCCTTCAGACACCCCCCCCCCCTGCCTGAAACACCTCCTTTGTTTTCTTCCATTACACAGTGACATCAATATGTAACACGCACTCATTTTCTATCCCTCCAATTCCCTTCACCAATCACAACAGAGCCGACCAGCTAACCACACTACAAAAACTCGAAATCTCGCCAAGTATATTTGTCTAATATCTAGTCAGAATATGTCTTTACACAATAACTTCAGAAGTACAGTAACACTGCAGTGAGATATCGGGTCTTGTCTTTAGACAATGCATCATCTTGTTAAGTCAAAACATCTAATTTTGAGTTGTATCTCAGATGAAACACATATGTATTTGAAAATCACCAACTAACATCAGAAAATAGAAAACTTTGATGCATTTGCAGCTTATATTGTAACAAAACATTTCCTGATTCTGGTCAAATATAGTTAAAGTTCTCCCAGCTAATTACAAGGTCTAATTTATCTAAATATCCCTTCTTATTTCAAGAAATCTAACCAAGCACATTTTGTCTCGATCTATTGGCAGATTTTTGTACTCATTTCAAGTGAAAACTTGATCTCATTATTATTTAACTTGTTTTTGGAGCAGCATTTTTTCCAGTGCAATCAGAGCAGACTGGGCTCTGGTTTCAGACAGAGGGTGAAAAGAGGCAGGCAGTATAAGAAATGAAATCATGTAAACATGTCACAGTAAGGCATGAAATACAAATGTGTACGTGAATAACAGGGCCCCTTTGAAAGTGATCATTTAACATGTTAGTGCTTCCTCAAAGCCAGCTATGTGATGGAGATGCTGTTCTTTAACGTAATCCTTTTTGGCATAATATATTTGCAATCACTTATTACTTACTGCCTTCCCGCAAGGAAACAGTGGGAAACAGAGCGAGTAACAACGATAAATACCTACCCCCAGGAGCAGGTGGGCTGCTGGCTTACAGGGTGATGCTGGGCTGGAGGTGGAGATGGGGCTTTTGGAAAGGCTATCAAAACAACAACAACAACAAAGGCAGCAGGCATGCAGCCACAAAGTGAGCGGAGCACTGACTGCTTAAGCACAGCTCCATGATTAAAAGAGAGACTGTGCCGTGTGAGTTTAGCATCAGATTGGTCTGTCTAAACCTTCCTGCAGGCTTGTATAAATACAGATGATATCACACAATGTATAAGTCTAGCTCTAGTCCAAATTGGGTTAAAAGAAAATTACATTTAAAATGAAAAAACGACATACACTGTAGGGCCATGTGAGTGATTTGGCTGAAACCCTTTAAAAGACTGGGTTTGATCTTAACTTTGATACAATGACCTTGATTTACTCTGTCTCTTTATCTCTGCGGCTATTTTTACTGCGTTCTGCTTAGCATTGAAATACTTCAAAGTAATCTAAAAATATCTTCCTTACCTGGAGGAGACCAGGAAATGGTCCGGCGAGGCCATCAGCGCCTCATGTTTGTTGTAGTAGTTGAACTACAACAAAGAAATAACTACTACATTATGCATTCAAGCAATTATTCTCAGTCTTAACAATAAGTCGGGCCAGCGAGCGTGCAGCCTTTCATTTCAAGACATACATTATACAAAATGTATGAGGTGTAATCACTGAAAATTGGGCCTGTTATCATGAAAGCAATGCATATGACCATGTTTGTTTTCCTCAATTACACATTGAACCTCCTTCAACCTCTAATTTTCTGTAATATAGCTGCAATTTACTTTTCAATGGATGCTTGAGGGCTGGTTTCAATGATAAGTCCATCTGATGTCACTTGATGCAAATAATTAACCAATGGAAGAGGGTCGTACGCAGGGAAATTGTTCCCCCATAACACAAAGACATGGTCACACTCATGCACAGCCCCTGTTATTTCCTACAGAAGGAGCACACAGGATTTTAGCCTTAGGCTGCAGGTACAACGAGATGAAGGACAGGAGACAGATCACTCCAGTGACACCAGTAAACACCCGATGGGTTTATTTTACGCGTAATGGCCGAAAAAGTGCAGGAGCAGGCAATGAATTTGACAGGGAAGATTGGATAAGTGAGCACAAGCTTCTAGCCAGACTGTGTGTGTGTGTGTGTGTGTGTGTGTGTGTGTGTGTGTGTGTGTGTGTGTGTGTGTGTGTGTGTGTGTGTGTGTGTGTGTGTGTGTGGTGTGTGTGTGTGTGTGTGTGTGTGTGTGTGTGTGTGTGTGTGTGTGTGTGTGTTGTGTGTGTGTGTGTGTGTGTGTGTGTGTGTGTGTGTGTGTGTGTGTGTGTGTGTCCTAGCATTACTATACTTGTGGGGACCTAAATCTGTTTACACAGTCACGTGTGGGGACTCGCCTCCCTTATGGGGACAAAATGGAGGTCCCCATGAGGGGAATCATTAATTTTAGGGTGAAGACTTGGTTAGGTTTAGGATAAGGGTAAGGTTAAGGGTTAGGGTGCGTGCGTGCGTGGTTCAGTATGTACTATTCTGCATCTGTATTTGACATGGACTGTTTATCATTTTGTAATACCCTAACTATAAAACTTTGATTTGAAAGAATGTGGGAAGCATGCTTATGACCCAACATTAGATGTAGCATACTATAACACATATTACTAATCCTCCCTTACATTGGATTGTTTTATGTTTTAGTATGTTTTAAACCCAAATAAGCTTTTCAATATAGCAAGTTAACCAATGTTTGTGTACGTCACTGACGGTGGTCCTCACGGATGTGTGTTTCTCTGCAGGGTCCGGCACCTGCGGGAGCTGGGGGAGCTTTCTCCTCACTGGGACAACTTAAGAAAAGAGGTGATGACCCGATACGGAGGAATCATCGGCTCCTACCAGGAGACTTTGGCTGAGCTGGACAAGATTACTGGTACGACATTCATATCTGTCCACACATTTATTCACACACACATGAACTCAGGTCAATTTAATATAGCTCAACATGACACATTTGTCTCCACTTTACAATCTGTATGCAACAACCTCTGTCCTTTGTCACCCTGGCATTGGATAGAGAATAACTCCCCAAATAAATATGTTTAATGTGGAATAAAGAAAGAAACCTCAGGAAGAGCAACTGAGGAAAGATCCCTGTCCAAAGAGAAGATACGTGAAATATATGTTGTGTGTACAGAATACATGATTTAATAACATTATAGAGTAAATTAGTGCATTGAGTGTGAACACAAATCATATAATTGATAATTGATGTTTCCTTTTTCCTATTTTGACATTGTTATTCATGTAAAATCTCTTATCTCTAAGTCCTTGAATGTAAAGGAAAACATGTTTAGTTCCTTCAAAGGTTTAAATGCCACATAGTGTATTAAGTTGTACTGTAGCAGTAGTTGAAGTGGAGCAGATTTGCGGATAATACGGCAAATCTTACAAATCAACCAACTCCTGTTTCAGATAAATATGTTATGCAAAATGTTTATCTGGTGAAACAAAAAGTTGATTGTAGTGAGAGTTGTCTCACACTGTAATGTACGGTTCCTAAATATAGAGTAATTATAGGAGTAATTAAAGGTGTAGGTGTATAATTAAAGGGGCGAGGTGTATAATTTCCCAGAGTTCACCCTGTTACTCCATCATAGTTTAAAGAAACACCAGCAGCGTCCCCTGACCTGTGATGTTAAGCCCAAGAAGAGAGGACAAGTCTGCGTCAAACGATGGTTTCTGGGTGATTTGTGCCAATGGAAAGCTAAGTGCGAGGTTGTTTCATTTATCTACTGGCTGTCAAAGAGTTTCCATAGCAACAGAGGTTTCATCGGGGGCAATTGAGATGTGTTTGCACTTGTGAGTTCTGTCGAACTAAATGTTTGCAGAGCACATTAAAAAAATGGTTGCAAATATGAGTTTATAAATATTCTGTGTTCTACTTGCTATGCAAATATTTGTTCACACTTTTCCCGCAAATGTTTTACATAATAAATGTAATCCACGCAATTAGCTCTAATGTGAGCACGGAATGTAATTAGGCTGGTTCTCATTTGCTTCTGACACTTAACAAGGAAACATTGGACATTGGCTGCAGACTGCCAGTGAGGTGCTTGCTGTGTTTAGTTTAATCACTCAAAAGTAGGATGAAAACGTATAAAGCCTTTCTAGCACTCAGGAAAGATATATTACGGTGTTCGTACATTTTCTGTCTCTGCCCAAAACTAAACGTATGAAATGATTACAAACTAAGATTATAATAGAAATAATAACACCGACATACAAAAGCTTATTGACTGTTCAATAACTCTGGATTTGTTTCCTCTTCATTATCTATTCCTATGCATAATTTAGTTTCCTACTGGCATATGGACATTACGGATACTGATTAATTTTACTCTCATCTCCATAATGAGATATTTGTCTCTGCTACTCTGCACTGCCCAGCTGATAAGAGATGATGGCCTCTAAGCCTCTGCCTTCCTGAGCTCTGAGGGGGGGTGGATAATGTGGCATTGGTCATTATAGTTCCTGACATGTCTCTTGTGTGGCGCAGATGCTGCAATACACAAAGGAACGCCGGTCCAACTCACCACTCTAATCCAGGCCTGCATTAATTCAGCAGGATGACAGACATTGCTAAACAAGTTGGGTGGGCGCGCCGCTGCAGATTAATTATTGATAAGCAATATCAATAAAACAGGCGGAGAGTGGAGACAGATTTAGGGTGAAGACCAGCGGTTGAGCAAAGACAGGGAAAAGGAATGAGAATATTGTTAATCAAATAAGTCATATGACGACAATCAAAGCATTAAGTGATATATTTCACGAGAGAAGTTAGTGTATGGGGTTCATTGGTGTCATTTACACCGCTGGACATGCCCCCACCATTTTTTTAAATGGCTGATTATGTCTCTATTACCTTTTTAAAAGCATATTTTGTAAAAAATAAAATCCCCAAAAGAAAGCTTGTAAAGTAACACATGAAAACAGTTTCACAAAGGTTTATTTGCACACTAAGAAAACATAGCATGCCATGTAAATATAGAATACTTTAATGTGTATTTTCCTAAGCACAAAGAAATACCCCCTTGGCTTACTCATTATAAAATAACCAGAACTCACGCACCGATCAGTCAAACATTTGCTTTTTCTTCAGAAACATTTTCATTCAAATGTTGCATTGTGTTACAAAATAGTTAAAACAGCAAACATACCCCCCCCCCCCCAACCCACAGCAGGGAGGCTGATGAAAACAAACAAACAAATACAATAGAATGTTTGTAGCAATTGTAATATATATATATAAATAGGTAAATACATAATACTAATATTTTTGCACCGTCATTCACCGACTGCTACGTGGAAACAAGACTAAATAGTCAAAGTGTCAGGATTATATGAGATGATATAGGGATAAGGAATGAGCCAGACAGAAAGGAGAACTAGAACCACGTGATTACAGTAAAAGAAAATGTAGAATAAGATCAAATAAAAATTGCCTGGACTAAGTTATGACATATACAGAGCGCTGGCAGCAAGGCAGGGTATTGCTTGTGGCAGGATTGACTCACGGTTCCCTTATCCGAGGGAAGCTTTCACAAGGCATTAAAACTGTGTATATATACTGTATACAAACGGTTGCAACCTTGTACACCATTTTTTATTTGAGCCTGTTAAAGAATACTTGATTTGTTTAAGCTCGAGAAAGAACATCACAACACTTAAAACACTTCCTTACATTTCTTGTTTTGTCCTGATCTTTGTAATTATCTTATCAAACTTAATTCTGATCCCCACGTTACTTTGCCTAAAAGATCATATGTTGAAGACCGTTCAAATGTCTTCTAAAAAAAACTGGCGCCCTTGGTGTGGTTGTCTTAACTTGTATGTACTCACAAATCAATACTTTAAGGGGATTTATCAATGTGATGGTACTTGACACAATGCAATAAAAACGAAATGCAAGCAGGACGTCTTTTAAACGTATACACACATATATCTATTATATAGTCTTTAAATAAGCATTTAAGATGAATGGGAGGATGCACATTATATTATGCTCCAACTCTTTAGGGTTTCTACATTTTCATGCCTCAGTGCCAGCAACACAAGGCCCTTTCAACTCAAGGATGAACTTATTAGACTTTGAGGTCAAGGTCCCCGTTACCTTACATAACAAGCTCAATATATCAAGAATGTGTTCTTTTACCACTTTCTCACAAAAGTCTACGAGGATAAAATGATGGATTGATCACATTTTAGTTTGCATGTTGACTAAGGTTTACTTGGCAAATTAGAAGCGGACTAGAATGCGCATATCATTTAAAGTGTATCAAGTCAGAAGGATTTTCTTGTACAAAATACGAATCATGGGTCTGTACGCTTTCATGGGTTAAGTCCTTTCTTATTTTTAAGTTTTTAAGATTTTGTGTAAGAACAGGATTGAAAACAAAGTTGAAGAAGAGGAGAGATACTCTTCGTGGGATGTTGAGTTAGTCGCCATGTTCAGGTTCAGCACCCTCACTGATTTCATTTTATACATTTTTAATGAAGAGCTGACCTCAGCTACTCTAATAACTGCTTTCCATTCATAAATTAATCATCCCTACTTTCATTGTTTACCAGCCGGATAATTGAATGTACCCACGTAATCCTTTTTAGCGTTGTGTTTGTTGGGCCTCCAACACTGCCGGCACTTCTCTGCACAAAACTGTCAGTCACTCTTAAACTCCACTTGTGGGATGACTTCAGCTTAAAGCCTAAAGCCACAGTTTGTATATTAAGGCTTACACCTTCTTCCTCTCTTTAATATCTGTATTCGAACAACAGTCTGTGTCCTCCAGGTAAAGAGGTCCAGACATGTTATCGTTTGCAGTCAACTACAGAAAACTTTTTTTTTTTAATATGGAGAGGCCCTTAAAAATAATGACCACAATGTTGAAGGACATACATTGAATTGAATCAGAGTTGAAAATAAGGAGAAGACTTGAGTCGCTCCTGCTTCTCTCAGGCTGAAGCCTCTTCCCTCCCAGCATGTGTCCCATCCTCCTCTGCGTCTATAACATATCTAACTTTGGATTGATTAAAAAGTCCTGCTGTGGTCCCAGCGCCACAGGACCATAAAGACGATACCCTTCACCATGCTGCAGACCTACATTGGTCTGACAGCCCTCACTTACTCTTCTTGTAGTTTGTGATCTTAGGTTTCTTCTTTCAACTTGTCCTCAGGCACTCAGGCAGACATTTATAGCGCAGGATATATAGGTTGCTCATCTTCTAAAGGATTCAAAGGCGTACAGAAGAGGGGCAAAGAGCAAAGAAATGAAAGGATAGATTGGAAGAAAATATGGTGGCCAGATGTTGGTCAGTATTGCTGGCATGCAGCCCTTCTGTCACATGGCCAGCCCACCTGGGCCAACAGATGGGGATCTGATACGGCTAATTCATCTAACCTACAACGGTCACTAGCTCCATTAGCCTGGTCCCCAGAGCTCGTAGCAGACACTGAGAGCCCCTGAGCAGGGAGGACAGCTCAGCCGTTCACTTGAATGTTGGCCTTTGGTAAAGCTCCTCCTAGCAAAGCGATCTGTAGATGTACGCTGAGGAGACCAGTTAGATCCTCTGTGGGTGAAGACATTTGCACAAACAGCATGTAGGTCAAGAGTTTTAAAACCACTCTAGCGGCTATGGATGGTAATGTCGGTCTGTCTACTCATAGGTCTCAAAAAACAGCTGGATGGATTTTAAAGTTCTGTTTAGGCATTCGTGGTCCCATTACATTATTACATTACATTGCATTTAGCTGACGCTTTTATCCAAAGCGACTTACAATAAGTGCGTTCGACCAACAAAATACAAACTTGAAGAAAACAGAATCATATAAGTACATCAGGCCTCATAGAGCAAAAACATTTCAAGTGCTACTCT